AAGTATCTGCCATCTCATCAAGTATCTCACACGCCTCAGCATAAGGTGTGTTCATATAGTTTCCCTCTGCTAGCTGGTTCACTACACACTGATTGGTCGTGTTGATGCCACAGTAGAATGTTTGCTGGATCATTGCTTCGGTCATGTCATTGTTCGGAAATTCTTTCACCAACACCCGATACCTTTCACAGATCTCATGAAGTGGTTCATTTGGTTCCCGTTTGAAGGCCAGGATCTCATCTCTCAATGTCTCCATATGCCCCGGCGAGAAAAACTTGGCTATAAACTTGTCGGCCAATTCATCCCACGTAGTGATGGAATGGTTGGGAAGTCTTTCGAGCCAGTCCAAAGCTTTCCCTCTAAGTGAAAAAGGGAACAATCTCAGTCTCAATGCATCCTCCGGCACATTTGTCTGTTTGCTTCCCCGGCAGGTATCCACAAAACCCTTTAGATGTTTATATGCATTCTGATGGGGAGCGCCTTTGAAGTACCCTCTTTGCTCCAATAAAGTCAACATAACATTTCTAATCTGGAAATTGCTCGTCCGGATCCGAGGTGGGACAATTGCACTTGCGTAACCTTCATTTGGAAGTACCCGAGGAGCTACTCGTGGAGGAGCTGGGGGAGGGTCAGGAATGTTGTCATTGGCCGGGCGGCCTCTTCTTTGAGCTTGAGGTACTAGAGGCACCTCATCTTCAGCATTATCATCTACCTCCTCCCCTAGGAGAACATTTCCAATAGGATCATTATTTGCCATGTTGTACCTGAATCAGTTAAGTCACACAAGTTAGTAAAATAGAAGGAAAGAAAAGCAAGACACACAACTAGTCAGATAGATAGCCAAAACCATTTAGTTCCCCGGCAACGGCGCCAAAAAGGTGATCGTCTCCAACCCTACAACACTATATAATGGCAAGGAGTGGTCGATGCAGCTTTTACCCGAAAGGTCGGGATCGATATCCACAAGGAGCTAATATTGGTTGGGAGTTGGGTTTCTCTCCAATCTAGCTACGCGTGTTGCTTTTAATTGCACTTCTAATCATGCTTAAATTTGTTGCTATTCTACTTTTAATGCTACTGATTTCTAAAAATACAATGTTTTTGTAGGATTTTTCTCAATTGATAAAACGCACTAGGGAAGTGACTTGCACCTAGGCGAGTACCTAATGGGGTCTAGAATTTAGGACAAGCTTGTTATAATTGGGGTCATGATATAACCTTTACATATAATTACTCACTCTATACCTCTCGGTAGTTTGAGTGACTTTGCCCTAATTGGCTTTCTCAAGCCCAATTGGGTGTTCAAACAATGCAAGCAAAATTTGCTCAAGTCGGGTATTACTGTCTCTAGGTTTAACCCTTTAATTGGGGCTATCAATCTCTTGAATGAACCCCAGTTCCTTGTTAGCCTGAATTTCCTAGACTTAGTCCCTCTTTTTCAAGAAGAGTCCAAGTCATAAAGGCATGAATCAGTGTTTGTAACCACCAATTCTACAATTAAAGCATGAATCAAGCTAAATATCACTAACCCATAAATAATTAAGCCATAAAATTGAAGACCCATTAAATACTCACACTAGAGTGGGTCACAACCCTAGCTAATGGGTTTAGCTACTCATAATCAAGGTAGAAATCAAAGATGGAGATAAAATATAAGCCATAAAAGTTGATTACAAGAATAATAGCTAAAGCTGCTCTAAAATTACTCTAAGTAGTAAAAATACGGCTGTTCACGAGCTCCTCAGACAAAAGATGATCTAAAAATGTGAAAAAGATCTATTTATGCACTGCTAAAATTACTAGACAAAAGTACCCCTACGGAGGTTCTGCTATCATCGGAATACTGGCCGCCTCAGCGCATGAACATTCGCGGACGCGCAAAAACAAGCGCGGACCGCGTTTCTTCAATTTTGGACTGGGACTGGGCTAGGTTTCGCGGACAGCGTAAATCTACCACGTCAACGTTAGATTCTACCGCGGCCGCGTAAAATGCTCGCGGACCGCGTCCCTCATTTGAGCTCATATTGCAAGGTCTCTGAACTATGACCGACGCTCTCAGCGGAAATTCCACCGCGGCTGCATCAGGTATTCCGCGGCCGCACTTTTTCATTGCGGTCAGCAGTCTCTGTTGCACCCAAAACACCTTCTCTGAATCTCAATTCCGCGGACCGCGTAATTGTGGCCGCTTCAGCGGTGGATCTTCACCGGCCGCTCTTTTCCTTCACGGTCAGCGCTTTTATCTCATCTTTGAACTTTGTGCAAATTTAACTCTTTCATGAGTTGATTTTGGCTTTCTTGCCTCATTTTGACCAAACCCTGCAGACAAGCACATTAAGTCAGTTTTCGGGAATACTTTTACACATTTTTTATCCAAAACCTAAGCAAAAGAGAGCATAAGATAGGCTAAAATTCATAGTTATCATATACTCAGGGAGGAAGAAAATTTGTATCTTCTATACTATGGTGAGTAAGGTAATTAACAAACTTAAAGGGTGGCATCTTAAATTCCTATCTGCTGGAGGAAAGGCAGTGCTTATTAGGCATATCCTCCAAGCCCTTAACATCCATACTCTAGCAGTTGTACACCCTCCTAAAGGGACTAATGATCAGATTGAAAAGTATATTGCTAGATTCTTTTGTGCGGGAAATGACATAGGTGATAAACATCATTGGGTTTCTTGGAAAAACTTATGATATCCTTATGAAGAAGGGGGCTTTAATTTTAGAAAATTGGAAGACACCTGCAAAGCCTTTAATGCTAAACAATGGTGGAGATTCAGAACCAGTAATTCCTTATGGTCCCAATTTTTAAAAGCCAAATATTGCAGTAATGACCACCCTAATAATGTTCAATGGAGGACTGGGCAATCACAATGTTGAAAAGCTACGTGTGAGACCAGACCAAAGATGGAAGAGAATATTTTGTGAATAATAGGCAGGGGTGACATTAGTTTCTGGTTTGATAATTGGACCAAACAAGGTCCGATGTACAACAACCTAGAAGGTGTCATTACTCATCAAATTAATGGGCAATGAGATTGGTCCAAACTCATACCACAACCTTCAAATTTTATCAAGGAAGTGGTATCTAATATCAACCTGGTGATCTCACAAGAGGCAGATGATATCCCTTTGTGGACTTTGTCAGAGAATGGAAAATTCTCCAATGCTACTGCTTGGGACTTGCTTAGGCAAAGAAGGCAGATGTCACACTTTGACAAGAGGATTTTGGCACAAAAATGTTCCATACAAGATGGCTTTCCTTACATGGAAAGCATCTCACGGCAGGATTCCTACTGACGACATGGTTTCGAGATTTGGTATTAATATGGTTTCTAAGTGTTGTTGTTGTTTTGGTGCATGTATGAACCCAGGAGTGGAGACAATTGAGCACTTCTTTTGCAATGGTCAATATGCTCAGCAAATATGGAGTTTCTTTGCAGGAAGAATTGTTATCCCCTACAGGAACACACCTCATAGGACACTCATTTTCATCTGTTGGAACTTCAGAACCAGAAATTCCATTGCTTTTTATGTTACTAAAATTATACCTCCTATAATCTTGTAGGAGCTGTAGAGATCAAGATGCAGTTCAAAGTATGAATTGGAGAATCCAGCACTAGATCTATTTCAATGATCACTTTCAATATTAGTAGCCTCGCTAAATCCTATTTTGGGAAAATAGCTATCCCGGATGATTGGAAAAATTTATGCAAACTGTTGGAACAGAATCTGGCTGAAACCTCAACTATTCTGGTTAGGTGGATTAAGCCCCCACTCTTATTTGTAAAATTCAATACAGATGGCTCGTGTGTATAAGGTATATGTGGAGGAGGAGGAGTTGTTAGAGATGAACTAGGAAGATTTATCATGGCTTTCACATTGCCTTTGGGACAGGGCACCAGTAACACTGTTGAAGCCTCTTCTTTCCTCTTTGGACTTGAATGGTGCATAAGAACGGGGTGCTACTTAGTCATTGGAGAGACCGACTCCATGCTCCTTCAAAATTGCATCAGCAGAAAGGTGGCTACACCGTGGAGATTGAAAGATACTGTGAAGAAGATTGGAAGGATTGTAAATGACCATGACATTACAACTAGACACTATTTTAGGGAGGCCAATCAAGTTGCGAACAACCTGGCCTCTCTAAGTCATAACAATGATGAAATACAGATATACACTCAATTTAACAGGCTACCAAGTCATATTAGAGGCATTTTGAATGTAGATAGATGACAACTACCTTCCTTTCGAGTCAAGAAGAGAAAGCCGGGTGTGCTTACTTTTCGAGCCACCTTAAAGTACCAGCTTTATCGTCACTTTTTTTGGGTCTTGTGGAACATGAATTTTGTTCATTGTTTTCTAGCATGGTTTCCCAAGGTCATATGTAGAATGAAGGCCAGGCCTACCCCTCCTTCATCAAATGTAATCCATCTTCTAGTGACAATAAAATTGTGACTCGAATTAAAAAAAAAAAANATCCATCTCCAATTCTAGTAATATATATATATATATATATATATATATATATATGGGTCGGATCGAATCTTTTTTCCGTTTTTGCATTATTTGTTTTGACCCGCCCATATCCAACTCCACCTGCATGTTTGCACCGCTATTTATAATTATCAAGTCAATGCATTAGTGAATTACGTTATTTGAGGAGTTGATGAGTGATTGTCTAGACTTCATAATATGTTACCTAGAAGATATGATAAGTAACATATTAACATATCAAATTACTTAATTATTGTTACAGTTAATATTTCTAGATACTGAATAACGCTGCACCTCACCAACCCTTTTACCCAACTAGCCTTTAAGATCTTGATCTTGACAACTAGTACAAACGAATCAGAATAACAAAGAGAAGAATTTTTTTAATTCTTTTACTTTTTCTTGTTCAAACAACTTTTTCAAACTTCTAAAAAGTCGTAAGAATCTTCTATGTACAATTGTACATTGCTTTCAACGGCCACAACGAAAACGTGAAAGAAGTCTTGTCGAAACTGAGATTATACTTTTAACAAAATAATCAAAAAACACATACTACTTCAGTATACAGTCTCCATTCACATATCTTTACATTTTCACTTTTTCTTTCCTTTCCTCTTTACATTTTGATTACTTAAGTATGTTTTTTATTTGTTCTTTCGTGCCTCAAAGCGTGATTTTGCAAATGCTTATCAGAGTAAGCAGCAGCAGCAGCAGCAGACTTTGGTCTATGCTTATGCCTGTGGCCGTGTTTGCGCGCTCCTTTTTCTTCATTTTCACTTACGTTTACCTTTTTCTCTTCGTCCAGTTTAGATTTCAACACACCAATTTCCAACTCCTTGTCACATTCTGAGGACGGAACGACATAAACGAATGGACCAATTGGTATATCCTTCAACTCAATTACAGGCTCCAGGGCCTTAACCACGTTGCTCATAGTAGGCCTAGACCTGGGCTGGTGACTCAAGCATTGATAAGCTAATGCAGCCACCTTTTTTGCTCCTTCTGTCGAGTACTGACCTTCAAGTCTTGCGTCCATTATTCTGTCAAGCTTATGTGAATCCCTCAGCATTGGTCTTGCCCAGTCCACCAAATTTCGTTCTTTAATGTGGCGATTCTTGTCCATGGCTGGTCGTCCTGTTATTAGTTCTAACAAAACTACTCCAAAACTGTACACATCGCTCTTACTTGTCAAATGTCCTGTTAAACGAATAGGAAAATCAAGTTACAACACGTTAAATCATACTGATAGCGTAAAAATTCTAACGAAGAAAATGACATTGAACTTGAGTAAATTTACCAGTCATGATATACTCTGGAGCAGCGTAGCCATGAGTGCCCATAACACGAGTCGAGACATGCGTATCATCACCTTCAGGTCCATCCTTTGCTAGTCCAAAATCAGATAACTTGGCCTTATAATCCTGATAATTGATCGCATTATAAGTTTCTAAATTTTACTAATTGTCTTGAGAAACATAAAAAAATAGAAGTAAGTTTTCAATTAGGATAAATTCATAGGAAAATTACCGAGTCTAATAGGATGTTAGAAGCCTTGAAATCTCTGTAGATTACTGGTTTTTCTTCCCCGTGAAGAAAAGCTAATCCTTTTGCAGCACCAACTGCAATTTTTATTCTGGTTGACCATGGCAAGCAACTCGAATATCCTGTATTAATACATCACATATTCAAGTATAAATAATAAGAAAAAGAGGAGCCAAAAGTACTTTTCTTTATTTTACTATTGATAAAAGTAATCATATGAACAAATTAAAGAGAAATCCGGTGCACAAGGCATCTCGTGTTCAAGCACGGTCCGGAGAAGGGCGCACCCAAGAAGTATGATGTAGACAGCCTACCCTAATGCAACCATTAGTGGCTGCTTCCACGGTTCGAACCCGTGACCAATAAGTTCGCACGAAGACAACTTTATCGTTGCTCCAAGGCTTCCCTCCGAGCACCTGAATGTTCACACATAAAAGAATCCAATACTTACTTGAAAATAGATGGTTCTCTAAGTTTCCCCTTGCCATGTATTCATAAACAAGAAGTCTCTGCTCTTCCTCCCAACAATAACCAATCAATTTCACCAGATGGGGATGCCTTAATTGTCCCAAAAAGACCACTTCAGTCTGAAAATTCATCAACTAGAAACTATTAATAGTAAGAACATGAAAAGAAATATGAGGTCAATCTTGAAAATAAATAAATAGTAAAAAGTTGCAGCAGCATTTTTATGTGAAAAGTTAATTAATTACTCCTTCCGTCTCAAATTATCAGTCGTGTTTTTCTCTTACACGCCCCCTAAGAAAATATTAATTAGAATGGGGTTTTGACTATTTTACCCTTATTTATAATTTCATTCAATATTTATTCCATAATTAAGGAATAGTCTTCAAGAACAATTACTACTATTAAAGGTAAAATGGGGAAAAAATAAGTCATTTTGCCTTGAACTTCCACAGCGACAAATAATTTGAGACAACTATTTTTAGAAAATAGGACAGATAATTTGAGACGGAAGAAGTACTTACCAGCCATTCTTGGTGGCCTTGATTACCATCCAAATCCAGCAACTTAACAGCAACAGGTTGAGCTTTTAAACCAGGTTTAATCTTATCATCAATAAACCCCTTATGAACAGGTCCAAATCCACCTTTTCCAAGAAAATTTGCAGATGAGAAATTACTGGTAATGATTTTGAGCTCAGCATATGTAAAAATATGAAGATTTGAACCAATGATTGCATTCGACGAAAGATCATCCAACGATATAAATACTGATCTGGAATCTGTACTTATATCTGAAATAGCTAGCCTACTATGATGATCAGAATTAATCTGTTTACATACTTGTATAATCTTTGCCTCTGAAGGAAGAATATTACTATCATTCTTGGCTTTGAAACAATTTGGTAAAATAAATTTCCAGGTAATTTTGCAAGCCACCATATTGTAAAATCAGAGTTTGGTGTAAATTTGGATACAAAGGGTTAAATAAATAGCTTAATAATGAAGGGAAAGAAAGTCTTAAGTGGAAATTATTTACAGCTCTATACTTTTGACAAAATGTATAAAGTTTAGCTAAACAGGGAAATGTCTATAAGTCTAAAAGAGTGACGGCTTAATTTGTTCTATATATAGTTTTCCTACTACGTACTATTTTTGTTCATGCATAATATATAAGCTTTTATATATATATATATATATATATATATATATATATATATATATATATGTAAAACCGAGTAAGGGAATATAATCATCCCTACCAAATTAGAAATTGGAAGGAAATATATTATAACTAAGTCCTCGTCTTTAATTTGACTTCAGAAAGGAGCGTGTGGGGGAATATAATATATTATATTATATCACTAGAAGCTTTCATTTTCTTAACCAAGCTTCTATGTTATTTCATTCAGTTTTGGATTTTGGGACAGAAACAATGCATGTGTGTAAACTTCATTAATCATGAATAGGTGTATCAAAGAAATAATAGAAATTAAAAAAGGGACAATATATTGACGGGAAAAGTATAAGGTAAAAATTAGTGGAGTAACTTTTTAGAAATTAAGCTTTATCAAAAATTAATTTACACAGATTGAATATAAAACTGAGTTTTAACTCATATATACGGTCAATGTAAAGCATTTTTTACATTATCGAGTCATATATACATGTTGTGGCAGATAATATGTCTTAGTTAGAAGGGTTCGTCATACATGTATAATTTTTTTGATAACTTGATAGTCTAAAAATATATTTTTGTACGTCCTTGGTGTATATAATTAAATTAATACTTAAGTTAATTGCAAGTAAGTGTCTGAACTATTGGTATTAAATTTGTTTGACTATATATCAAGAAAAGAAGATGGTTAACCTGTTGAAGTGGTTTAATTTAAACAGACAATGTAAAATTAAGATTTAAACTATTCTTAGATATAAAACTATAATTTTGTCTAACTTTAATCAAAACATTATTATTGTATTAAATTTAAGTATGGACCGCCTTAAAAATCCATCTTGCTTCTTGTTGCATGTGTATAAACAGAAATTAAATTTATAATCACATATTTGTTTATTTATTTCCCAGCTTTAATGATTTTAATAGGTCAAATAATTCTCACACATTCAAAGATTCTTTATTTTATATTCATAGTATAAACAAATGTCTCTATGCTGGGAATTGTTGACTGACCTTTGCCCTATAATTATAGCAGGGAACTTTTTGAACAAGCAATAAATGTAAGATTGAAGTCGTCTACTAATTAATTGCATAGTTGAGATATTTGCAAACTGACTTGATAAAATATCCTTCCCCTTCCCAATATCTCAAAGAATTAAGTATACAAAATCTATTACAAGTATGTATTTATCTCTGCTCTCAGTCCATGAAAATGTAATTCCAAAACTTCCCAGTCAAATCCCCAATTCTTAATTTACTAATGTGTATGCGGTAAAATCGGAGGGTTCAATTTTCGGCCATTACAACGCCTCGTAAGCAAGCTTTCCAAAGGCTCGAGACTATGGTCGAGGTTTATCCCGAGGGGCCATCGGTGTCCAACCTCGGGACAATGCAAGTCGACGGTTGTGGTAGAAAAGTGGGAAGTTCCCTAGGCGCATGGCTAGGGCTGACTAGAGGGCTAGCTCTGACCCTTATCAGGGCATTAAGTGGATGTACCTGTCCCATATCTTTGTAATTAATGCATTTGTACTATATTCCCCCTCATATATAAAGGGGAATCCTTGTCATTTTGTGATAATCTGTTGCTCGATACTAAATACACAAGAACATTCTCTCTGCTCTCTAACATATTCTCTTGAGTTTACTACTCCCATTTATTGCTTACATTCATTGTGTTCTATTTATTGTTCTTCATTTATTGCTTATTATTGGCCCTAAAAAGCCGTCATTGAATCTATCATAACTGTTAGTCCCTCCATCGACTGTCCACGGCAGGGTGTAGGATTCGACCTCGAGGCCCCGAATAAGCAAGCTCGAGGCCCCGAATAAGCAAGCTCGAGGCCCCGCTTATCAGCCTATCGGTTCGGTTATCACCTTATTTTCAAGCTCTTATCTCGTTTTCTGCTCTCTTACCTAACATCTATTACCTAAACAACTAGCATAAAAATAGATCACGTATTTTTAGAACCACAAAATCAAATCTAATTATAATTACCATTTTCAAGGTAAACAATTTGGCGCCCACCGTGGGGCTAAAAATAATAGTGATTATTTTCTTGCTGGTTTAACTACGTAACGCAAGTTATCTTTCACACTTTTTCTTGTCCAAGATCTTTGATTTCAGGTCAAAATGTCTAACTCACTAGACGCACGTGAAAGCAACAATCTCGAAGACCATGGAGAAAACGGTGTTGACGTCCCAGGTGCTGGTGTACTACCACAAAACCCTGAGAACGCACCAGAACCAATTCCTGTGGACGCGGTCTCACGCGATGCCCAACACATCGATATAAGCTCCGACACTAACAGGAGCGTGCGCCAAGGAGATCAACAAGAAGCTCAAAAACCCCCAGCTAGGGAAGAACGACAGGTTAGCCTTCACGTTATTTTTGAAATGTTACAGGCACAACAGCTAGCGATCGCTCAGCTACAAAGTCACCAGAAAACTCCCAGCACGGTAGCACCGGGGACGGCTCCCCTAGCCGAGCAGGTACTAGAGAAGTCAAGCAACAACGGGTCGGCAGTCGACCCTGCCATCATAAGGATGCTCGAGGACCTCACGAAGAGGATCGAGTCGGGCGAGAAGAAGATAGAAGCCAACGATAAAAAGGTCGAGACCTACAATTCCAAGGTCGACCAGATTCCGGGCGCACCCCCGATCCTGAAAGGCGTGGATTCAAAGAAGTTCGTACAAAAGTCGTTCCCACAGGAAGCGGCTCCGAAACCCATTCCGAAGAAGTTCAGAATGCCAGAACTTCTGAAGTACAACGGAACCTCAGACCCCAATAAGCACGTTACTGCTTACACTTGTGCGGTGAAGGGCAACGACCTAAAGGACGACGAGATCGAGTCCGTCCTACTGAAGAAGTTCGGAGAAACGCTTTCTAAAGGGGCAATGATGTGGTATCACAACCTGACCCCAAACTCGATAGATTCATTTGCCATGCTGGCAGATTCTTTCATAAAGGCACATGTTGGTGCCATCAAAGTAGCAACAAGGAAATCTGACGTCTTCAAGATCAAGCAGAGGGAGAATGAAATGTTGCGAGAGTTCGTATCTCACTTTCAAATGGAACGAATGGAACTACCTCCGATCTCCGACGACTGGGCAGTGCATTTCACTCAAAGTCTAAATGAACGAAGCTCAGTGGCTTCGAAACAGCTGAAATAGAACCTAGTCGAATACCCGGCCGTGACTTGGTCGGACGTCCACAACCGATACCAATCAAAGATTAGGGTCGAAGACGATCAACTAGGAGCCCCCTCGGGCTCGGTATATCCAAGCAGGCTTCTGGCGAAGGAGCCGAAGCCAAACAAAGAAAGGTACCAGCCATACACTGAAGACAGGAGAAAAGCCCCGAGGCGTGACATACCCCGGAATGATCAAAGAACGGGCCAAGGGCAGAACCCCCGGGGACTCGTCAGCAGAGCCGGGCTCGATAGGCGTGCAGGGGCGGCGGAGGCACCCCGCTTGTCGGAATACAACTTCAATGTCGATTTTTCGGACATCATATTCGCCATCAGTAAATTAGAGACACCAGGTGGCCAAGGCCTGTACAATCAGATCCTTCGCAAAGATATCATAACTTGGTGTGTGAATTCCACATCATGCACAGCCACAGAACCAAAGATTGCCATCAGCTCCGGGAAGAAGTAGCCCGACTACTGAGCAAAGGTCACCTCCGAGAATTCCTTAGTGACCAGGCCAAAAACCAGTTCCGGGAAAGAGAGGCGACCAAGAAGAACGAAACAAGCGAGCCACAGCATGTCATCCGCATGATCTTGGGAGGCGTCGATGCCCCACAGGAACCCATGATCAGAAGAACAAAAATATCCATCACCAGAGAAAAGCGAACTCGGGGTTACATACCCGAGGATGCTCTCACATTCAGCGACGAGGACATCGAGACATTGTCTCAACCTCACAACGACGCACTGGTAATCTCTTTCCTTGTAAATACATTTCAAATTAAACGTGTACTTGTGGATTCAGGCAGCTCGGCCAACATTATCAGGTCGAGGGTGATAGAGCAGCTCGGGCTGCTTGACCAAATCGTGCCCGCCTCTCGAGTCCTTAACGGATTCAACATGGCGAGCGAAACAACAAAAGAGGAAATCACTCTCCCGGTCAACGTGGCCGGCACAACCAAAAATGCCAAATTCCATGTCATCGAAGGAGACATGAGATACAATGCCTTGCTCGGAAGGCCATGGATACACTGCATGAGAGCAGTACCATCAACCCTTCATCAAATGATGAAGTTCCCGACGAAGGATGGGATAAAAACCGTCTACGGGGAACAGCATGCGGCAAGAGAAATGTTCGCAGTACATGACGTAGCGCCGACACCAGCACCTCCACCTTCGAAAGAGTCAAAGGATAAGCAAACAGTGAAATAGCGAAAACAAGCTACACCCTCGGCTAAGTCCGACCGAACGAAGCAAAGGACCGTACGTCCTCATGACAAATGATCGAAACATATCAGGGGCCGAAGCGCCGTCAGCACTAAAGGTATGATCGCCTCCCTTTGTCAATTACATCTTATACTAACCTAAGTGCAGGTATCCGATCAAAACAGCTGAAGCGCTTCCCAACTCGAAGGCCTTAGGTTTCAAAAGCATGTGTTGCACTCTTTTCCTTCGATCGGGTTTTTATCCCAAGAAGGGTTTTACCGGCAAGGTTTTTAATGAGGCAACATCTATATGCTACCTAAGGAAACTCAACAAGTATTCAAGGCTTCTCTTGCAATCAACCTCGAATATCGAGGGGCATCCCCCCGGAAGATCACCTCCTCGGAGAAGCTAAGATATGCTGAACAGGGTCTCGATAGGAAAAACAATGTACCGGGCCAAACGGTCGAACGAACCGTGCCCGTATAGAATAACTGAGCCCTCAACAGCAAAAACATGTATACTTGTACCAAGCAATCAAAGAATACTTTCGAAAAGCATTTTGTGTTTCAAAGAAGC